ATTTGGAGATATTAAGTGTTTGACTATTTTGACTTTTGAGTTGATTTTGCATATGAATAGGAAATTTTGAGTTTTGATTTGACCTACCTTTCTATTTGAAGGATCTAAAAAAATAGTGGTGGACTTGAAATCCTATACATGTTTTTCAATTTTGAGATATAAGGCGTTTGATTTGATACAATTTTTTGTTGATTTTTTTTGTACTTTTTCTTTTTGAAGATTTGATTCGACTTACCTCCCTATTTATAATACTTCTGATTCTGATGGTATATTTGAAATCTTGAGCAAGTTTATAGTTTAGGAGATATGAGATTTTTAAAATCACAAAAGTTATCTTTGATTAATATATGAAAAAAATAAAAATAAAAATTTATACTAAATACATAGAGGTACTTAGACATAATACTAATATATTAAATAGCACATGTCCGTATATGTCCAGGTTTAGGTTTAGGATTTAGGGTTACAAGAGTGTCATAGTGATTTTTGATCGTAAATATCTCTCAATGTATTATAATTTTTTCCATTCTGAAATTTTGCCAAGCCTTAAATTGTTCCAAAGACCTCTATAAACGTCTTTGTTTCTAAAAAATATGTGTTTTATTTTTCTTAATTTACGGTTTGAAGATCCTAATTTAGAATCTAAGTTTTATATTTGTTATCATGTAAGAACTATGTATAGAGTTGAAATGCATACCAAATTTTATTCATATAGTGCAAGTCCGGCTTTGCCCTCAAATTTGCTAGCTCTCCACCTGTTGTTCATCGACTTTCCGTCCCGGTTTTCCTTAACTTGCCATCGCACCTTCTGATCCCACCATCCGGATACCTTCATCATCGTCTCGCGCATGCTCTATGAGAACCAACGTAGTAGCGACGGTGTCGTCGTCTACTACTGTTGCTGGAGCCACTACATAATTGATGTCGGACGTGTACCTCGAATCTCCATCATTGACTTCTGAGCGCACTCCCTTTAACGACGTCCTGGTCGATCCCTGATGCATCCTCGAGTATAGCCTCCAATGCTCTCTCATGCTTATTATCGACAACATTGGCATCGAGTTCAAACGATCCAAATGTCGCCGATGTATCAGCACCGCCGATGATGACCCGTGTCAGCCCAGCTCGCAAATGACCCTGTAATATTTCTCCATTCCTCTACCGTCCTGGGTGACCATGGAGGGGACTCCGACGGAGATAGCAGAGGGATCATTGGCAACGAGTACTACGCATATCCGACAAGCATCAACTCCCTTCACTTTGACCTCCCGTCCTCGCTACTTGTGCTCTCATGGACAGCAACCGCAGTTGCTCCAAAGTGTCCGCAAATAAATACACCCGACGACGGCAGTTTCGCCTATCCTTGCATGGCTGTGCTCAATACCGAGCATGATGCGGCCAATACTCAAAAATTTTGTGCGCAAACTTACACGCATTGCCTCTCCAATAATTTTTGTTCCAAAAGTCCATTTAATACCTTGTCTCTTTTAATATCCTCCATCATACCCTGCATCTCATGACACCATGCCTCTTACGATACCCTCCATCCTAACATGCATCCCATTATATCCTACCTCTATAATACCCTCCTTCGTACCTTACATCCCGTCATACCTTGCCTCTTATAATACCTTCTATTGTACCATGAATCCCTTTATATCCTACCTCTTCAATATCCATCATCCCATCATATCCTACCTCTTGCCATACCCTCTAGCGTGCCCTGCATCCCTTGATACCCCACCTCATTAGATGTCTTGTATCTCTTGATACCTTGCCTCCCTCAATAACCCTCATCCATATATCGCCCCACCTTCCTCGATACCCTACCTCTCTCAATATTCTTGTTTCTTCGTCTAATCCAAACACCCCTCACAAACTTCAATTCATACTCAAAACAAATGTAAACTCTCACCCTTGAAAAAGGAAGAAGAAAGTGACCCGTAAACACTCATGTAGAATGATCAGTCAATGTATGGCTCCACTCAGGTCACAAAGTAGAATGATCATAAACATGATCTCAAGAATCGCCATTATTAAAAATATAATGTAAGACAAAGGAAATTGCCATTATTGAAAATATAATATAACATAAGACAAAAGAAATTGTGAACATTTCAAAGGAGAATGCATATCTAGTGTCTAAGGTATGAGCAAACTCCCTAGTGCTTTGCTATTCATCTCAATCCTCCTCCTCTTCCAACTCTCCAGTGCTGTACTATTCAACTCAATCCTCCTCCTCTTCCAACTCCCTAGTGTTGTGCTATTCATCTCAATTTCTTATTGCTCACAACTGCCAATGCAACTGACTTTACCCAATATGCAATCACTCCTTCAACCGCCACCAACACAGCTAGCTATGCTCAATATGCAATCACTCCTTCAACCGCCGCCAATACAACTAACTATGCTCAATATGCAATCACTCCTTCTTTGCGTAATTACTCATCTCACAAGGCGATCCCACCATCCAGGCTCTCCGTCCATGGTGCGTGGAATTAGCGTGGAACAACGCCATTCCGTGCCTCTCTCCTCCTCAGGCCGTTGTAGTCACTCCTTGCTCAAGGCACATGCGTGCACCAAGATCCAAGAGAAATGCCCCATGGTGCTTGTCCCTTTTCTGCCTCCATGTCCATGATACGTCGGGCCTCTTTCTCCCCTCCCTTCCCCTCTCCACGCCTCTTTCCTCCTAAAATCGTTGTAGATATTCCTCGCAGGGGGTGCATGCATGCACTGCGATCCAAGATAGATACCTCGTGGTGCCTGTTTAGTTCGCACTGCTTCTCCTCTCATGACCTGAACCTCGATCTTGCGTCACTCCTTGCGTGGGGTGCATGTGTGCACCGCGATATACGATCAATGACCCGCGGTGCTCGCCCTTTCCCGCCTCTCCATCTGTGGTGCGTGGAATTGGCGTGGAACAGTGCCATGCCGCACCTCTTCCCCCTTAATACCATGGTGCCCTCCCCCGACTCCTTACTAGTGTGTTTACCCCGATCCTCTACTGCTTGTGACCGCCAAAACAGCCAACTTTACTTAGTTTGCAATCACTCCTCTTGTGGCCAATTTCCACAATCCAAGACAAACGCCCTGCGACGCTCATTCCCTTCTGCGTCAAATTGGCATGGAATAAAGCCATGCCGCACCTCTTCCCTCCTTAGATCGCTGCAGTCACTCATTGCATGGGGCGCATGCGTGTACCACGATCCAGGATAAATGCCCTACAACGGCTCTTTCAATCCAATTCTCCGTCCATGGTGTGTGGAATAGCACCATGCCGCGCCTCTCTCCTCCTTACACTGTTGTAGTCACTCTTCTTATTGGATGCATGCACGCACTACAATCCACAACAAATGCCTTGCTGCGCTCGTTTTTTTTTTGCCTCTCCGTCCATGATTTGTTGGGTCTCTTTTCCCTCCACTCTCTCCCTTTCACCCAGACCGCTGATTCACACTGCTTCCCTTCGCAAGACCTGTACTTTGACCATGAAGACGACAAGCAAGATAAGGACCAACTGCAAGAAAAGAGGACTGTGAGAAAGAAGGACTACTCTGAATTGGACGTCACGTGCATGGTCGCCCAATTCTCTTAGACTGAACTGGACGATGTGAGAAAGGGGGACAACTTTGAACTGGACGTCACATGCATAGTCGCCCAGTTCCCTCAGACTGAACTGGACGATGGTGTACATGGGCTTTCCAATGTCACCCTTTGTCTAGCTGGTCTCGAATGCAAGTCATATTAAAATAATGTAGACTTTGCTCCAAACCGCGTTATTGTGCATTGAACTCATTCCAAAGCAGCGGCCTGAGATGACTGTGGTTGTTGCCTTGCTTGAAAAACTAATTCCACGTGGGGATCAAAACGATAGTATGAATCACTCCGTGTACCAATTGCATGTGCTCTTTGAAGACGCACCCACTTCCGATTAGTAACAATTAGAGGTTTAGTGCTTTTTTGAGGCACACTCTCTTTACCTTGACACTAGTTCTTCTGCAATTGTTTACATTAAAAGAGCCTAATTTAGAGACAATATTTTTCCTAGCACTAGTCGTTGTTCTATGTCAAAAGCAAAGTAAAGTTGGTTTTGTACAATAATTGGTCTTGGTGTTATATTATTCTTTAGATCTTGTGCTTTGATTCTTTGGATTTTGTAGTTGTGCTTCTTTCTATATTAATCTTGCTACTTTGGCCATACCTAATTTTCTATAGATAGAAAATCTTTTTGATTGTCATCTTTGTTTTAATCTTCGTCTTGTATTATAACTCCTTCAATATATGTTCTTTGTATACAAATCCATCCTACATACAATTCAATAACATTTACCATTGCACTATTGGTTAGTTTTCTTTAATAAGCTCTAGTGAAAGATCTATATGTCATGTCTTTAATTTTGGTACTCTTTGCACAAGTTTTTTAATTGACTATAATTGGTTGTTGGATTCTCTTATAATTTATAGTGGTCTTTTGCCTAATTGTTTGCACATTGTTTCTAAGTTAACTTCTTCATTATAGCTTGCTTTCATGTTACTTCTTGGTACTTGTTTTTCCTCAAAATTGGCTTTTTTTCTATTTTGTATCTTTTATTTTTACTTGCTATGGTGACTTGGTAACTTGTTTCTTTTCCTTTCTAAAGAAGGTAATCTGTACCAAATATAAATGGTTGGTTTTGTAGGAATAATAGTTCTACCAATTCTTACCAATTTACTCAAAAGATTGGTGAGTCCTAAGTATCAAGCATACTTATTCCTTATTGAATCAATAGATATTATTATTTTTATCTCTCTCATAGATATTATTATTTTTATCATGGTTTAGATGGCATGCTTGATAAGCTTATACAAAAAATATATTTGATAGATTACTTTTTGTAATGTGTTTAAAAGTTTTAGAGATTTGAGAATTCCATTTTCCTAATTCTAGAGGTACAAATTGCTCCTCCTGAGTGGGCACTTCGTTGGGCACAAACTCTGTATCTTCTTTCATCGGATATGTATGCGTGCCAGAACCTCTATTCCTGGGTTTGCCGTGAACCCCGATTTAGGTTCTGCTGCTGTGTTTGCTGGGATTTTGTTATGTTCTGCTTGTAGCCTAGCGTGCCAATCCTTGCTGTCCGGACGAAATTTAGCAATATGACGAAAAGGACAATCATCGAGCTCGAGGGAATTCTGAGAGTAATCATCCAAGGGCGGCGGGCCGGGCGTAGTTCTTCGTTCGTACGCTCAGCATGTTGTGCACCCAGTGAGCATGTGAAGACGCAGACAGAAGATCTAGTGTTCAAAGCTGCGCTTTGCGATTAGGGTTTCAGGTTCATAATGCCTGTTATGTGCTTTGTCAGCTGGAGCGAGGATTATGACCTTGATTGTAAAGGGAATTTCCTTCGGAGGGCTTTACGAACACCGTTGTCGCCCCACGTGTGGGAAGTTGGACAGCGTGCGCTTCTGTCAAGTTTATCGTAGGTATACGAAGCGGTCCTTGTGGGGTTTTCGTTCGATTGTGCCTCATTGTCGAGCCTGAACGAGATTGCGGTTTTCATAGCAGTGTTTGCACGTCTAGCTGTTTTCAATTGGAGTGAACAGCATCGCTTGGGTTACTGCTCGGACTCTTTTTCCTCGTTGGATATTTTCAGCTCCAAATTCTCTTTCGGGTAGCATGAGCTCCTGACAAAGCCGTTGGCATTGGATTTTGTGGAGATCGCAATGTGCGAAAATTTTCTCTACTTCTTTTTGACCGAATCCCAGACAGCCTATCAATTGCAGATTGAAGTTATAGCCGATAAGTTCTGGTGTATCCTTTGCCAGGACGCTGCATTTGCTGGGATGCCCACGTTGAAGTCATTTCTTTTCGCGGTTCCAGCAAGGGGTCCTGATCTGAAACCCTAATCATTCAGGATGTTCACTCCAGTTGAAATTGATTTAACTTGCGATTGTAATTTGCAGGGGAAACGGATCAAGTGGAGGCAACCTGATTATGGTCCAGCAGATGGTCCAGCGCCTGCGCTAGGAAGCGGAAGAGAAGGCTAAGGAGATTCCAGTCTCTGCGGAAGAGGTACCGCAACAGTATTTCAGCGTTGTGTTTGCATTAGTCGTGATCGGTCATGATTGTTGTCTACCGGTTAGAGGTAAAACTCTCTAGGGCAATTTCTTTCGTGGAGGGGATATCTGCATTGAGAGGCTGTCGATTATAATCTGTTGTTTGTGAGCGACTTTTAGGGTTTTGTTATTGGATGACACGGAGGGGTCTGAGCGCTTTGAAAGCGACTTCACTCTTTGCCATAGATTTCCGTGTGTACTTGTAGTTGATTTTAGTATGATCCCAACGTGGGTCAGTGAGAATCTAGTGTCATCTTGTTGAATTCAACATGGTATTTCTATAGCATAATTGAGTACTTTAACTTATTTTCATGATGTTGGATCTTAAGTTGGTTCTTGGAGTGTGCTCTAGAAATGTGTATGTCCAGTATGGGTGGAGTAATCAGGTAATACATTTAAAGGTTAGTATTTAACCGACTGGTCTGTAGATGGACTAATGATTAACAAACTTGCACCAAAATCATGCTTGAAGCATGAACTCCTGGCTAGTTGTGAGAAGACATAAGTGGCACAGTTCGTTTTGTATCGTTGCAATGAATCAAGAGTTTGATTCTCTTCGGAATGACACATTCCTCGATCTGCTTGAAATTCGAAATACTACAAAGTGAATGATGTCCACGAGATCGCGGACTCACAGTCAGGCAACAAGAACGAATTAATCTATGACTAACTCTGCACTAAAGTAATTTGTGAAAGTTACTGTACATTATTTAATCTAGATTGACGAGTGGTAACCAATAAGCCAACGCTAAACATTCTGTAATCTAGATTGACGAGTGGTAATCACTAAACCAAGGTGCGAACATTCATGTGAAAGAGACAATTGCACACGGGAAGTTTCATGACGCGCGAAGTAGGTGGTACCTAATAAGTTTGAAATCCCCAGTTACTGGTTCCAAAATCCAGAGGAGTTGTCGCAGGGCAGAGGAAGGTGATGACGAGGTTAGCTGCATGTAGCTTGGTATGTAGCGTGGTTAGAGAACATGAGCACTTGGGAGAATCTCCATTGATCTGTCTCATTATTACTGTGATTTTCTTGGATATTTGTCACTGAGTTTATGCATGAAAATTTGAATAACAAAAGTATTGTATCATGAATTGCCTATTCAGCATTGAACGAAGTATGAGGATTCCGAATTTAATATCTGTTGATCCCTAGCAATTTTAGAACCTTCATGAGTGGACATTGAATGAGCTAGTATGAAAGGACAGTAATCAGCATTATAGGAAAGGGAATTAGCGATAGTCCAGATGTCTGTGAGTCTGAAGTATGGTGAAGTGAGAAACTGTGTATGACCTAGAACTGTTGCAAATGATGATTGGCCTGTACAGCAACGCCTAGAGGATTTACGCTGGTTCTGGCTCGCTGCTGAATTTGAATGGCTTTAGAGAGGATTGTGTAACTTTTAAGATCTAACTTGAGTAGTCGTCGATTATTCTCACTTCCAGGTCCCACAGCCGTTCCTTCGAAAGTGTTCTCCCCTCGCTAGATCTCGAAATTGTAGTGTATGTTATCATGAGTTGAGGGATTTTCACTATCAAGTGGTGAATTAGGTGGAACCTCATCGTCCGAAAAGCTTTCCAACAGAGTATGTTTCCTGCCGTGTTTGCATCTCATGTTGTAAGAAAAGCTGGAGAGGAACTAGGATGTGTCCGGTATGTCAATATGAACTCACCGAAACACCTAAACTTGTTTACTGTTGAAGATGATGCTCGATATGGTGAGATGTTAGTGGTTGTCTGACACTGAAGGAATTGAACTCACTGCGAAGTCAGAGT